AAAAAGTGACTACTGTCTGCTGCCTATATGAAATCACGACGAGACGATTGCTCCCATACTATCGTTCGGTTTGTGGGTACAAAAGTTTAAGAGAAGAAACGTAAAGAGCTCTTCATTTTATTTTTTTGTTTTGGTAAGTGATTTACGGCGCTGGCAACTGCATAAGGTCACATGAGCGCGCGAGACACGTTTAACATGTTCAGTTTGGTAGGAATTTTGGATTTTGCTCTTTGTTGATTGGCAATACATTATGTCTTCTAAACCACCCTGTGCTTAAAATTAATGTTAGTGTACACCCTCGGCAGTATTCTGAACGGACTCTCTCTCTCTCTCTCTCTCTCTCTCTCTCTCTCTCTCTCTATCTATCTATCTATCTATCTATCTCTATCTCTCAGTGAAAGTTACATTAATGTGACCACGAAAGCTGTCGAGTCAAGCAGTATTCATGTACCTGTCATTACATTTTATTCTTAGTGTATGCCCGTCATTCCAACAGCCGCGACAGGAAAGTGACAGCCTATTTTTTCCTTCTAACTCTCTTCGGAAGCATTGTCGGAATCACTTTTTTTGTAGGGCAACAAAACTATACAGATTTAGCGACGAGCGCAACGGCTGACCTGGCGTGCTAAAGTCTTTGACCTATTTACGGCTGGGTGAATCGATGACCCCAAAAGAAAAATCACGAAACCTATAAATAGCGCTAGTTGTTTGTTTTGTTTTGCTTTGTCTTGCTTGGGTTGGTGTTGATTTTTTAATTTCTTTTTTTGCGATTCTTTTTTTTTCATTCTTCCTGGTTTCACGATCAATTCCATTCAATATTAGTAATACATGTACATGTATTAGCATCTTACTGCAAGTCGGTCGGCGTATAAAGAATGTAGCCTACACTAAATCATTGACACGTTAATTGTTTAAAAATAAACATCAAAGGACACGTTACTTTTCTCAAACTTCAAGTCAACGGCCTAACAGATAGGTTATCAAAGATACCCCCACCCCCTCTTTTCCTTAAAAAAAAAAAAAGAAGAAAAACCACACTTCTAACCACAGGCAAAAGACGGCTTCTATAAAAAGCAAATGCAATCCATTCTGGCATCGTAATCATACGTTTGATTTCGCGCTATAAATACGGAAAGAAAATCCCTCACAAAGTATCCTGTTTTATTACATTTTCTTACACTAACTTTTAAGAATAATAGGACAAAGCACCACATTCTTAGACCTCCCAAACTCTAAACCAAACACAGTCTTGCTCACAGGTAGAGGCAAAGTCTGTTCTATAAGGACTCCAAAGAACCTTCATTTATCTACCCAAATTCAACAATGATTCCTCTGATCACTCCTATCTGACCTTAACTCTCAAGACGAAAACACCGCCCTTCAGGATATGCAGGTCACTGTAGTGTAATATAATATTCCAGGAAATGAAATTGCAGATGTGTTCGCAAAGAAAAACGCCAAAAAGACTGTGGTTATGGACGGCATAGACCTAGGTCGGTGACCAAATTTCATCACGAAATCTTCAATCAGAAACAGATATAAGAACTGCCAACCTAGTTATTATTTATCATTTTAAAGAGCATTTGTATAGCGCATAACCCCACTCTACAGTAAGCTCTGTGCGCTTTACATTATATACATAATATATTATATTGCTATTACCCCAGCAGACCATAGAACACTCAGAAACATTCTCACCTTCCCGGGAAGCATACAGTACAAGCAGCTGATTAAGTGCTCATACTCAAACACTACCAAACTGACAAGATCTTTCACTGTCTATAGCTGGGTACCCGTTCTCACCTGGGTGTAGTGAGGAAAATTCGTGTAAAGTGCCTTTCCCAAGAACACAACGTACGTCGGGTCCCTGACGGGATTCGAACCCACGACCTTACGGTTGCGAGTCTGAGAGCCTAACGTGACCCCAGTCACCCCCTATGGCATGTGTAGCAGACCAGACGAGGTCACAACGTTCCGAACCCGCTGCAAACACTTGAGGCGGAAGCAGCATAATATTTTTATCGTGCATTCCAGGGTCAGAGTCGGAGAGACACCCTTACGTCAATGTAAACATGGCCTAGCGAACTGCACTGCCACCATAATCTTCTACTGCACTGCACTCCGCGTCATCAATACACACAGAGGACAGATAACATGGATATTTTATTATGTTACACCACTGTAAAGAAAACTGTATGGCAGCCTTTTTTAGTTTTAGTAAGAGTTTTACAGCACTTGGGACTCAATAAGGCCATATTAAAGGTGTTACAAAAGAGTAACAAACA